AAAACCCAGAACTGGCAGATTTATCCTACGTGATTTCAAGACTTATCATAAAGCTATAACAATCAAATGGAGTAGTGTTGACAAAAGTATACACAGGTCAGTCCTGCGGGCACAGGGGAGAATGCAGCAATCCGAGGCTGAGTCTACATGGGCAGGCCCAAGTTCCTTTTTTTTTTGAAGGTCTCCTTGAATATGCTGTTTGCATGTGCCTGTGCCTGACTGAGGCCTGGACTGTCACGGTGGTATGATGACCCTGTTGGGGGTGATTGTTTCTATTTCTCGCTGTCTCCCTCTCATGCAAGAAATAACTACATAAACTTTTTTTAAAAAGGCAGGCAGATAAATCAATGGGACACAACAGAAAAGTCCAGAAATAGAGCTATACTAACAGGGTTAAGTGGTTTTTAACAAAGATACCCAAACAATTCAATGGGGTCGAAAGGATGATTTTGTTCACAAATGATTCTGGGACAATTGGATATCCATACAAAAAAAAAACCCAAAAAACCTCTTTCTCACATCGTATACAAAAATTAATTTGAGATGCATCATAGACTTAAATGTAAAAGCTAGAACTCTAAAGCTTTTAAGAAGAAAATATAAAGGAAAATCTTTGTAGCATGGAGCAGGCAAATCTTAGATTAGATACAGAAAGCACTAACCATAAAAGAAAAAATATTGATTAATCGAACTTAACCAGAGTCAAAATATATCTGCTTATCAAAAGGCACTTTTTTAAAAAAAAGTATTATTTATTTAACTGAATTTACTTATTATTTTTGCTACAGAACATGTGTACTCACCAGAAAAAGACAGAGAGAGGAAAAGAGAAAGTGAGAAAGCAAACCACCAGGTCTAGGACTTGAACCACGGTTGACCATGTTGAAATCAAGCTACCTTAATCACCACACCACCTGCTGACCCAAAAGACACTGTTAAAAAAAGTAGTCAGCCTACAAAGTGGAAGAAAAAAATGCTTAACAACCACATATACTTGGGAAAAGACATATCCAGAACACACAGAGCACATCTACACCTTAATAATAAAAAGACAAAACAACACGTTTCAAATATGGGCAAAAAATTTGAGCATATCACAAAGAAAAACATATGAGTCAGTAAGTACATTAAAATGTGTTCAATATCATTCATCATTGGGGAAATGCCAATGAAAAATTACTGATATATCACTACGCATCCACTCAAATGACTAACATTTAAAAGACTGACGACACCCCATATAGGAGAGGATGTGGAGTAACAAGAATTGCCATCATTGCTGGTAAGAACAGAGAATGTTACCACCACTCTGGAAAATTAAATGGTATTTCTTATCGAATAAAACATATATCTACCCTATAATCCAGCAATTCTGCTCCTGTTTATCCAAGAGAAAAATTGTAAAGTATGTTCACAAATGACTTGTGCTATAGCCATAGCAGCTTTAGTCATTATAGTCAAAAAATAGGAAATAACCAGAGTAGAGGCTCCTTCCTGGTCAGACCGCTGGCCACCTGTCTGTCATCTTACATGATTCACCTTGTTCTCTTCATCCTCTTACACTCACAAAACATACCCATGTCTCCCAAGTTCATTCCTCTGTACAGGACAATTTTATTTGCTCAGAATTCTCCTTCCCACTACTCATGTTCTCCCTGTCCATTCTCCCAGGATCAGCCCAAGATCTCTGAGTTACCTTCCCACACTCCTCTTTGCAGTCCTCTGCTTGTGTTCCCTAAGAATCCCAGATGCTGTATTATAATTATTTATTTATTTATTTATTTATTTTTGGAGAGGTTTTTGCTATAGGGTGCGTGTACTCGCCAGATAGAGACAGAGAGACAGAAAGCGAGAAATCACCCCCTGGGGGGATGGCCACGCCACAATCCCTTCTCCTCCATTCTCCTCTCAGGATCTCGGGCATGCACGCACACGCGCCCGGCATGAGTTTAAGCCACCGGGTCCGGGACACGAACCATGGTCGACTACGTGGGAGTCTAGTGACATAGCCATTACGTTAACTGCTGGTCCCTATAATTATTTTTAATTTAATTTTATTTCAAGTTCTTTTATACATTCAATCACATTACTTAGCTTGCAAAGTGAATATTCCAACAAGTGTACACTTCTCACCAGTCCAGTTGATAATCCTATATATAAAGTTATCTTCAACCCCATTTGTCTCATTAATGCTTTGCCTCTCTATGCTCGTGTTCCCTAAGGATCCCAGATGCTATATTACAATTTTTTATGTGTGCTCATCTTTCCCACTAACTCAAACGAACTTCCATCTTCCTTATATCCCTAGCACCTAGCATTAGATAGAGTACACATAAGTAGTTTAAAAATGTTTACTAAGTATACGCCAGAATGGATGAGAATCTAACTTATTCTGGATCGAGCACTGAAATACATGCTTTTCATTTATCTTTATTTCCAAATTCAGGCTAATTTCATAATAATGCATTCCCTAGCATGCCTCCCGCCCCTTACTCAATGCCTACAGGAAAGTTGAGTAAATATGAGCGTGATGTATTAGTCAATGTTTGTACTATCACAATTAGCACAAATTCTTGTTGCATTTTACCAGTTGCTCTTCTTGGCCTATTTAGTTCCTTAATGATTTACACACTAGTGGATTATTTTTAAGCAAGTAAGTCAATGAAAGGGTGCTATTTGCTTTTTATGGTGGTCTTGAGGTGCCGGTTTAGCTGTTTCTAACCTAAATATGTCTAAAGGAAATATCTTTTCATAGATATACCTTTTTGGGGGGTGGGGGGGGTTGCTGTAGAGCATATGTGCTTACCAAAGGCAGGGACAGAGACAGAGTGAGAAGGAAAGTGAGAAATCACCCCCTGAAGGGGTGGCCATACCACAATCCCTTCTCCTCCATTTTCTCCTGGGACTTTGGGCATGCACACACACACACACACATGCCCGGTGTGATTTTCAAGCTGACAGGCTTGGGACTAGAACTGCAGGCAGCCATATGGGAGTCTAGTGCCTTAACCACCATGCCATCTCCTGGCCTCTATGTTTAGTTATTTTATACTGTAAATTGTGCGCTATAGGAAAGATTTTGAAGGAACTGTAAATGGGTCAAAAGATTTAAGGAATGTCATCAGTGGAAAATAAGGTACATATGTCTAGCATATGCTTCATTATCTGGTTCTATGGGGTCTCTCACTTTCATTGCCTTTGAACTACTTTACAATTCTGTAATTTGTTGAAAATTGATAATAGTGTAATTATTTTAAGTTTTAAATAATGTTGCTAGAGGGCACATGTGCTTGCTTGAGAGAGTCAGAGAAAGAGAGAGAGAAAGTGGGGATGGTCACGTCACAATCCCTTCTCCATTTCTTCTTTTGGGATTTTGGGCACACATGCACATGTGCCTGTATGTTTCTCAAGCACACATGCACTTTGCATGTTTCTAAAGTCCAGATTTGGGACTTCAACTGCACAGTCATCCATGTGGGATCCAGCTGCCTTAACCTCCAGGCTGCCAGCTGGTTCAATCATGTAATTCCTGATGATAAGAATCTAAATGATATCTGGTAAGAACACAATACATATTCCTTTTGCCTCTGGACATTACCTTGTTTTTGCATCTATTTAAAAATTCATTTTAGGGACCAGCAGGTGGCATGGTGGTTAAAGGCACTGGACTCCCACGTGGCTGGCCGTGGTTTAAGTCGTGGACCTGGCAACTTGCTTTCTCACTCCCCCTAGTCCTCTCTCTGTCTGTCTTTGGTCAAATTATTAATAATAATAAAATAATTCTTAAAAAAATTAAATAAATAAAATGTCATCTTAACATTCCTTATTTGACTACATATATGTGATCATATACATTCTCCTTTGAATCTATTATAACATTATAGTGGTTCCTTCAACTGTTAATGAGTTAAATAAAATCTTTGACATGTGATTTTTTAAAAAAATTAAAAAGTTGCTCTTTCTTTTTAAAATTAAAAACATGAGACACATGCCTAAAGACCTCCAATGCAGAAGTCTTTGATATCCCAACTACTGTAGCCAAGCTACTTCCTTCCTAATTCTTTACAAATCTCAGTTTTTGTATGCATTAATCAAATAACTGAGGGGAAGGAAGTGAATGCTTAAGACGCAATGGTACCTGTCTACAGTGCTGTTTGGATTGTCTGGTTTCCTTGTTTCTACTATTGAAATTTACTGTGTCAATGTCAATCTATGCCGTATAACACATAACCCAGTTGATGATGCTATCTGGAAAAGAATCTCTGATACTCAACAGAGATATAGCTGTCTTGTCATTTCAAAATTATCTTGAAAAAAGTTCTTTTATTTATTTATCTGGGGGTGAGGGTACAGAGATATTCTCATCCCATCATCCACTCTCAGTCTCAGCCAGCCCAAGACATGGGCTCCCATGTGCCTGCTGTGCTCAGGGAGGTTCTGGGATACCCACCCAGGTGCTTTCCCATGTGAATGCAGTTGTATTATTGCTGCACAAATTCCTGGCCTCTGGCTTTTTTTTTTTTTTTTCTGATTCTCTGTCCCTAATTTGTATGTGATCTTGGGGAAGCTCTTAGATCTTTCTGGGTCACCCTCCCCTTGTCTAATAATGTGGCTGGACTAGAAAGTCTTAGGTTGCCATCAGCTTCAAGATGCTATGATGCCATGACTCTTTAAGTATCCTCCTGAGGACCAAGTAGAATCAACTTTAGGAGAAACACAAGTACAGAAAACAATATGCTAATATTCCCTCACTTCCCACTTCGAGGTTATGACTCCTTGCATGGCTTCTGACTGGGTCATACTTTCCCTCACCAGTTCAGTGACAGGGCGCCCACCTGGGAACTGGTAGGTAGAGTCCAGTTCTCTACTCACGAACAGTCTTACCAAGTCAACTCTCTCTTGCCTTCTGCTTTAAATGGTTGAGTCTATCTGAGAATATCTTAATGAAATATTTTCTGATCTCTATGGACAAAGAGATTTTTATTGTTGATGTGGTCGGTTATCTTCATGCCCAGAGATAACTCTTTCATTGTTTCTTTCTCCAGTTCCTTGCCCATCATCTGCTCCGCTTTCATGACTGCATGTTCTGTAACTGTCGTGGGTCAGGTCAGCAGCTGCAGGAGAACTTGATTAGTGCCTTGCCTCTGTGCAGAAGCATTTCCCTGACAGCATCGATCCTGAGCGGTTTTGCTTTGCAGGCAGCTCCAGAGAGGAGGAGCTTGTACTGCAAGGGGGTGGACCGCTGTCTGGTCAAGGTGAGTTTGGGGCAGTCTACTAATTCATTCTTCTTTGCTCAGCTGTTAATTTTGCTTAAATAAGAACTGCCTGCATATTTTCATTTAAAATCCACTGCCTGACTGAGACCTTGTGATGGCAAGATTCAAAGACACTTTTTATTGCCAAGTTATTAGTCCTTTCAAAGAAGGAAAATTTGATGTTTAATATTTAAACAGTTTCTATTTTGCTGAATTCTTTGATATCTGAATGTTAACTGTGTAACCATTTAAGTTCCATTTCTACAGACTTTTCCAGACATTTAAAGCACTACAAGAATTTATTTGTAATTCTCTTGTACAAAAAATTACTACCCATTTCTTGCCATGGTGGCCATGACCAACAAATAGATCCATTAGGGATGAAATAAAGAAATGTTTATATTCTGGAGTATTTTAGTTTGTCTATTATACCAGATTGCTCTTTTTTTTTGGGGGGGGAGGTTTTTGCTGTAGGGTGCATGTGCTCACAAAACAGACAGAGCGAGATAGAGAGACAGAAAGCAAGAAATCACCCCCAGGGGGATGGCCACGCCGCAATCCCTTCTCCTCCATTCTCCTCTCAGGATCTTGGGCACGCACACACACGCTCTTGGTGTTTTAAGCCACCGGGTCCGAGACGTGAACTGCGGTCGACTACATGGGAGTCCAGTGACATAACCATTACGCTAACTGCTGGTCCTAGATTGCTCTTTTCTTGAGACAGGAACAAATTCTTTTCATCTTTAAAATGTTACCGCTTCTTTCAATGTTGGAAAGCTTAACAGAATTTAGCACAGAAAACTGCATTATATCTGGACAAAGGAGATAACTCCAAGTATTTTCATTTAATTTTTGTATTCTTGATTTTTTTTATTTGACGTTCAGGAGTCATTGATAAAACTGGCAAAAGTGTGCCTAGGTATAGACCTGAGTTAGGATTCATTTTTTTAAGTGAATTTTAAAGATGGTTTTTAGGACATTTCTACCCTTGTGAAACCTGTAACTCCCTAACTGCCAAAATGTCCCAGCTCTGCAAAACTGTCACATGACATTTTAAAGGCATATTCTGTTACCTGTCCAAAACAACTACAATTACTCACCAGCCCAAAACAACCTATTCGACTTATCCTTTTTGTGGTAGTCATAAGTTCTGTAAGTTTATATCATATCAATGTACAAAAATGCATTCATGAGTTTCCAATGGAGTGCAGCACAAATCTTCATGTACAACACAAAAACGTGGTGCTATGAAGGGAAGCCAGAACTCACTGTAGTGTCATATCAGCAAGCTCAACCATGAATGCTACTTGTGGATTAAACTGTAAATTCAAAATCATACAACTTTCTTCCATAAATTGTGTACATTTTCATGGACAAAGAGGCAGCCTAATCTAGTGAGGAGCCTGATATTATAAAGATCTAGGCTTTGGACTCTGGTTCACTTTGCCAAACGATCTTGGGCAGGTCATTCAATCAGTTGGTCATAGTTTCCTTAAATGTAAAGTGGAAATAAATAATTCCCGATCAAAGGAGATTATATGAAAACACTATAAAACTGTAAAGCCATATTCATATACTTTTTGTTTATGGTTGGAAATGTATATGAAGTGCCTGGTTTACTTAGAACCCCTTTCTCCAGAAATTGCTCATACGTACAATTCTTGTACAAGAGGTAGGCATAGGAATCGTGTTTGTGACTCCTTTCCAGGTGACACTGGTCATACCTGACCAAGGACATCCAACAGCAGTGAGCAATCAGATCCTCTCTAAAAGACTCGAGAGTGTCCATAGGTGGTAGCCTGGTGATCACCAGAAGTAGGGACTCTAGTGGCCATTTTCAGCCATGAGCATGCTGGTGAGTAGGCAGAAAGCAATGGAAAATGGAACGGATGGACAGAGAGAAGCAAAAAAACAAAAACAAACAAACAAAAACAGTATATTATTGGGTTGCAAGGAAGACAGAGAAAATATCTTAGTTCTGGGTCCAGTTATTAATCTAGTCTATAGGCCATACGCTATTTATTTTCAGGATGGCTTAATTTAGCCTCACAATAGATTCCCATTGGGTGGCTTTTTCTTTCTTGCAACAACTAGAACTTTGACTAAAACAATGATGTCACAATTGAAAGGGCCATACCCAAGAACATTGTTACTGTACCAACAGAAGATTCTAACTATTCTTTGTAGCTACCAAAATGAAACACTTGCCATTTATGCTTTCTCAAATGTGTAATGCAGACTGTACCATAGAAGATTCAACAGTCCCAATTTGCAGCACATAGATTTACTAAGTAGGTTTGAAAATGTACTTCAAACAATGTGAGGTATTATCTTCCAAAAGAATTCTCTCTCAAGTCCTCCTTCTATGAAGTTTTAGAATCCATAGAAGACAGTTCAGTACAGTGGAAATAATATAAAGTTTAGAGTAAACTCTGTAAATATATCCTCTAAAAACTAACTCTGTCAATGAGGCCGTTAATTTAACCTTTCTGAGCCTTAGTTTCTTCATCTATAAATTGATAATAATGATATTTCCTTTCAGTTTGTTGTAAGGAATAAACAAGACAAATTATAGAAAGAGCTTGGCACATAGTAGGTACTTAAAAATGTTAATTTCCTCCTTCCCCTTACTTTTCTTGTGGATCCTATAATTTTATAATGCCATAGAATATTACTTCAAAATAATAAGCAGGATTTAGACAAAACCCAAAAAAGTTCTTTTTTGATTTCTTAACATAGGCAGCCAAAAAGTCTCTTATATTATTGTCAAAAACAAGAACATACATAGGGCTTAAAATAAGACTATCATAACAAAACTTCATAGGTAGCTTATAAGCACAGAAATTTATTTTCCACAGTTCTGGAGGATGGAAGGTCCAGACTCAGGGTGCTGGCTGACAGATATGGGCCCTTTTCCTCACAATATCCTTAGATGTTGGCAGGGGGCGATGAACTCTCTGGGACCTCTTTCATACAGGTAGTAATCTCACTTATAGAAGCTCTGTCCTTATGACAGAGTCACTTAAATGTTACACTTTGTAATACCATTGCCTTGGGGCTTAGAATTTCAACAAAAGAATTCTGGGGGGATAAAATTATTAAGACCATTGCAAACTGGAATCTGTGACAGTACTTACAAAGACCTCCTTTCATTCAGATACACGTATTTTGGCCAACAGATGACTTTCTCAGTGGAGTAACATCGGATGTTAATACATGTCCACGCTGGCATGTGCTTGTGTCTACATGTATAAACAGCACATGCCCGACAGAGTAGCTTTTTGTGTCAAATAGATTTGAGATGGACTTGTTAAGCATATCTGCTCATCTGCATGACGAAACCTGGAATATTTTATATGCTAAGCTTATTGCTTCGATGTTCAATAGTAAAAATCTCTTAAGCTCCGTAAGTTATTATTAAGCTTAAAAGAGAAATATTCTTGACAAGGAAGCCCTATGAGAAATGCACTGCATGATATCACAGGAAATGATTTCTGGAAGACTACAATGAGTCTAACCAAATCACTGCAGACATCTCCAGCCCTGTCAGGCCATGTAATGCTACAGAAAAACATGTGTGTTCATTAAAATGTCTGATTTCCTACGCGATAGATGTAGTAAGGAGTCTCCTAGAAACCAGGCTTCAGTGGCTACAACCAGTTTGCACCCTAGGATTTTGATTTCATGTTCTCAGTGAAGGAACACACACACACACACACACACACACACACAATAGTGAGAGGAGAATACTAAATCCAGATTGTGGGAATGGAGGCTCAGCTGTGTAACTAAAATTCATCAGATTGTACACTTAAAATGGATGAATTTTATGCTATGTAAATTATACCTCCATAAAGCTGTTTCTAAATGTCAAAAAGAAAAGAGAGCAAGGAGATTATGTAGTCTTACCTTCATATACACATAATTATCCTTCAACCAATCTGATGGAAAATATACAAGAATCATAAAACACTTTTCTAAAGGGTAAGACCCAGACTCTCGCTATCCATGGTTAGTTCTGGTACCAGGCCCAGAAATTTTAATACAGATATAAAATATAAAGAAATATTCACATCCTAAAAAAAGAGTTTTGTTTAAAATGAGTCAAGATATCAACTATACCTTAATACATTATATTCTTAGGTTAATGTTCTTTTGTGTTTGGGAAAACAATAACTCCATAACTAAGAATGATGCGCTTCCCTTTATATTATTATCCTTACACTGCATATTACATGTGAATCCAACACAGTAAGGGAGGCATCAACAATGACAAATCAAGTGTAAGCAGGTTATTTAAAATGAGGACTCTGATACCATAACAAAATTAATAAATCATAGTCCACTGATCCATGGTTTAATACTAGCCTCTATTTAAGGTCAATTTGGAAAAGTTTTCAAGCAAGTACTCTAAACCTAACCTCCTTTTTCCATTTTGCTATTTGATTAGTATTTAAGTAAATAAGTTTATGGTAGAGGCATTATGACCCTCTAAAAAAGCACTCCCTCCACCCCCCTGAAAGAAAACCCCACTAATTTAGGTTAAAAACAAAGTAATGGCAGCAAAAGTGTCTTTAAGTTTTGCAATAATCCTTCCAGTACTTTTGCATCCCAAAAGGCTCCAGATGTGACCAGCCACTGCAAAATGGTAAGTTGTTTATCAGCATTCTACAATGGGAACTGGTACCTGTAATTTTACTCTTATTTTGCATCAGCATTATTAAGACACCTAAAAAATGACCAAGTGAATGTTTCGTGTACCCACACGGACACCTTCAGGGTGAAATTCTCTGTCAGCTGTCTGTCCTCCTGAAGGTAAAAGCAGCTTCATTCTCAGTTGTCTGTGTGTAGAGGCGCTAAAAGCCTCCTTCTATAGGGTTTCTGCCCTTAGATGGAGCTGGAAAATAATGTTGAATTGTTATTCTCACAGCCTTTAAAGAACCCACTGTTGATCACTTTGGTAATGCAAAAAAATCAGTTTTTTTTTAATTTGTCTTCTT